TTCGCCGTTGTGTCATTGTGTACCAACAGTGATAGGCAGGGGCGAAGCCAAGATTAATTGCCACCGGGGTCTGAACAAACCCACAGTGCTAACTTTAAGGTTGCAACAATAATACAACATCAACAAATGTAAAATATAGCATTATAGGAACCGACAAACTATAGCAAAAGAAATTTCGACAGTAGTAGTTACCTCCTATAGGTTCCTTTTAGGGTTACAGTGCTCCATCTTGTGAAATCGAAGAATGATCACATTATCGATTGGAATTGTGGATAGAAAGTATGATTTGTATTTGATGCAGTGCTGTCTCTTCTTCTTAAAATATCTCCATCATTTTTTATAGTTATCATTGGGCGGGGGTAATTTTCTTTTGAAGAATCATTCCAATGTGTTTTGATTGCCTATCAAATTAGTCACATAATTAAACACTAAAGTATATAGATACTGATGGGAAAGCAGCCACACATATGATTAAAATTGAAAAATCAATACTGTAACAGAAGCCATACTGAAGTAGTCAATTCTTTGCTGCAACGGAAAGCAACAGAATCCTATCTCTGAATTAAGATTTTAGAACTTCAGATTATAAAACTGAAAGAAAAGAAAACCCAACTACCCCCAAAGACCTTACAATTTATACTTGATAAATCAATAAATAAAGTGCAGACAGCAGACATCATTGTGATAGATCAAGAAAATAGATCATTATCAATCGTAGAATGGTTATTTGATGTACCTCCCTCCAGGTGCTTGAGTACGGATCGGAGAGCATATAGCGATATCACCGGCGGCAACCGGGCGCCGGCGCTGGCGAGTCGTGACCTCTCGATCATCGCCGCCGCCAGCACAGATGCAGGTGGAGTTGCGTGGGAAAATGCGAGTTGTAGTTGTAGCATTGGAGACTCGGAGGCGACGTTTGGACTTGTGGGGTTGCTGCCTGTAGCATGAAGTTGAAAGTGGGCCTTCGGGGTGGGCTTATTAGCCTGCACGTGCAAGCTCTTTGTATAATTGTTGCATGTGCGTGTAGACTTGGCCGATGGGCCAGAGCTACGACGCTGGACTACCAGGCTGACGGGGTCGCATGTATTTTTTACTGGGGTCTAAGCTGGTGAAAATTTACTACGTACGTGAAGCCGGCTCGAAACCGTCGGTGTCGGCTGACCCCAATGGCAGAACGTAGCTTCGCCACTGGTGATAGGGCGATGCCATTTTCTGATTGCTGCAGCACTGGCTTGCCTTTTCGCCTTTAGCTGCTACTCCCTCTATCCCACGATAGACGACATTTTAGGTTTGGATACATAAATTAAGGTGAAGTGAAAAGATGCTGCGCATAGAAAACAAGAAGAAGAAAGATAGAGATGTATTAAAAAAAAGAAAAAATGTATATTAGAATAAGAGAAATATGCATTGAGAAATAAAAGTGTCAAGTATTTTAAGACAAAATTTGAATCATGTAAAGTCTTTGTATTTTGGGAGGGAAGGAATATATACGACCCCATGACCAAGGCCCACGTACAGCACGCCATGATGCCAATGATTGAGATGAAATTGTTACATGCGGTGGGATTTGCTTGTCAGGGAAAGCTAGAGAAGATATTTTTTTATTCTCCCGAGGCGGAGAATCCCTGCAAGTGCACAAAAGAAAGACTTGTGGTCGTCGCACTCGCACCCATCTTGTTTTCTCACTGGGAGCCTGGAGCCCGGGAGCAGGAGCAGAGCTGCATCACTGGGATCCTGGGAGCAGGAGCAGAGCTGGGTAGTGTGCTCTGAAGTCTGAAGCGAGTGTTGGTGCTCCCCTCTTCGGCTGCCAATTGGTGATCTATGTAAGGTATGTTCTAGCTTACACCAAACAAAATCTTTGCGTCAGGCCATTTTTTTTTTGAATTGGCCTTAGACAAGATCTTATGGAGTTCATTCCCAGTGCCATAAATGTTTTCTCCATTAGTTTGGCTACAGGACCAGCTTCAAGAAATGTAGTAGTTGATTTGTTCTATACATTCAACTGATTGGAAGATGTAATCTAAAAAAAAAACTGATTGCAAGATGTTGTTTGACTGGAGCCTCAGATCTAGATTCCCTGTAGCTATTTGTGCAAGTTCCGTACATCAGCCAACTAGTCTCTCTTACTCTTTCGATATTCATTCTCCTGTAGTGGAGGCTGGTTTCAAGTTCTTATTAGAAAGTTTGCTCTTTTGCTGGCAAGCATGTAGACAGATGACAGATGTATGGTTATTTTTCTTGCAAGCATGAAATAGTCATGTCGTGCGTGATCTATGGGCAAATTAAGGAACACGCGTTGTAAGTGGAGTGTAGTGCATGATCACTGGTCAACATCATTCGTGAAGAATGTTTGTTTTGGCAAATTTGTTGCCTAGGTTGGTTTGCCTGTTCACGCGAGTTGATGGATCTGCTCCATACCATGGCCGTTGCTCTGCGTCTCTGCGATTGCAGCTTCCATGGAAATTAGCTGCTGGGTTCTTTAAGAATTGAGACAAGGCACGCCCTGACGCGTCTTCTTTTTTCCAGTGTCGCGGTGGAATGGCGCATCAGCTCGTATATTGACTCGGTCGGCATTTCAATCCTCACCGCCGGCAGGGAGAAGAAGCAAGAATCCCCTATTACGTGCGTCGTTACACAGTTCAATCCTGATATTCTTGTTTTGTTCCAGAGAGCCTAACCTTAACTAAACACTGCTTCGTAGCTTGGCTGTTTGGTGTCTCTGCAATCAATTCAGTCCCCTTCCCTGTGAAGCATGTGACGCAAGAGGAGCACATCACGAGTATGATGCCAGCTCGTAATCTCCAGCTGCAAAGTATGCCTGAGCCCTGAACACTGCGTCTGCATGTTGCTCTACTAATCTAAACCTGACGACATGACACCACCGGTAGTTTCATACTACTGCTAGTTCTCTGCTACATTCTGCTGCAAATAGGCCTCATATTCTTCTTCGGTAAATCAAGGTACTAGTAGTATTTAATCTTCCATACATACTTTGTTTTCTTTCTAACTATCCAAGCATGAAACCTTGTTTTGCATCTATGAGTTCGACAAAACAAAATACAAACCCGTGTAAGTGTAACAGCCTCCTTGATGCTTTTTTATGCTTGCCGGCCTCGGTGTTGCTGGATCTGACATGTTTAAACGATGAAAACGGAACTGAAATATCCCGAACCGAACCGCATCGTTTTCTATATTTAATCCGATCGAATCCGCATTTTCTTGTCCGACTTTACCGTTTTCGCTTTCGCATTTCAGATGTTTCGTATTTCAAATGTAAAAGTAGAAAACGGTTTAGACATTTTTCGACCGTTTTCTACTTTTCTACTTTTAATTTGAAATATTCCGAATTGAAACCGAATTTGGCCAACTGCACAGGTCATACAGCCTAATTACAGGTTGTTCATCACGCAGCTGCGTTCTTTCTACTGGTGGCCAGCTGTCCTCTCTTATAGACGACGCCCAGCCTCATCTCTCTTCACCTCATGAGATGGTGCTAAATGTCAGGAAACTAGCAGCATCTACACGAAAAGCCCACCTGGGCCATAGCCCATCAAGCTCATCGGTTTAACCCCCACCTGCAAAGTCAATCATTTGATAGTTTTTGCATCAGCCGAATAAATCTTTGTTACTCAAAAGAAAAATCTGAATAAATCTTTAAAATAAAATACTACATCTATTCTAAAAAGATTAATAAAATTATTCTGACTCAGTTCGAGTTCATGTTTCTATAATATACACTTGTTAATTATTATATGCACTTGAACTTGATCATGTATGCATTTAGTCATGCACTTGGTCTATGGGTTGGTATTCCGTATTGAGTTTTCGTATATCGACCGTGTTCGACATAAATCCGTTCGAATTGGTTCGTTTTCGAAATTCTCGATAATTCGTAAGTTCGCGTTCGTTTTCATGTCCGGTTTTACCGTTTTCGCTTTCGCTTTCGTTTTCGTATTTCAAATGTAGAAGTAGAAAACAATTTAGGAGTTTTTCGACCGTTTCCGACCGTTTTCATCCTTATTTAAACCGAACTAATGTCATCCTTCCCTCCGGATTCCAAGGGGTGTCACATGCTGAACTCGGTTGGTGTGGTCTGTACATCAGCACTTCCACTACTGAAATCTGGAGGTTAAGTTGTTCAAGTATTCATCCCTGCTCCTCAGTCAGAATCTCATTTCCTCTACTGATGCGTGGTTTCATGACAACTAATTAATCGCCCTTGCTCTTCAATCTTCATTTTCTGTGTATGAAGCAGGACTCGAACTCCGTTAGCTCAAGGCAGATCTATGTTATGGATCTCCCTTTTTAACTCTGGATCACAGTTTACTCGTCCGGCAGAAAACAAAGACGACCTCAAGTCTTTGCTTGCCTGCCATTTCAATCCTCATCTCCGGCAAGGAGAAGAACCTTTCCTCAGACCGCCCTTGGGAGGACTACTACCGCGCTTTAAATCGCCAGGTTCCTGGTACGTGCGTTACAGTATAACCATCATTTTCCTTTTTGTTTCTGGCAACCAAACCTTAATTACAACGTTTGCTTCGTGCCTTGCTTCCCTGATGTTTCTGCAATCAAGTCAGTTCCATTATTCCCTGTGGCATGTTTTGACACAGAAGACATGGAGCTACCACGAATATGATGCTCCAGCTGCAAAGTTATGCTTGAGCCTTGACCGCTGCATGCTGCTCTCACAACTGAAAGGAGACGACAAGACACAATTAGTTGTTTCATACTTCTAGTTCTTTGCTACACTCTGCTGCAAATAGGCCCTGTATTTCTCTCCCATAAATCAAGGTACTACTAGCTAGTATTTAGTCTTTCATACGTACTCTGCTTCCTTTCTGCAACCATCAAAACATGAAACCTTGTTTTGCATTTATGAATTCCAACAATGATTAGACAATGTCTTGTGGCACAAAACAAAATATAAATCTGTATAAGTGTAACAACCTGATGGATGTTTTTCTTTTGCTTTGCAGTGGTTAGATTGCTGGACACTCGCTATGGCTGAGGCTATTTTATCACACTTCGCAACCTCTGTTCTCCAGAAGGTCACATCCTTTGGTACAGAATGGGCTGTTAATGAGATCAAGTCAGCCTGGAACGTCAAGAAAGAAATAGGGAAGTTGGAAAGGTCACTGAGATCGATTTGTGCTGTTCTACAAGATGCCGAGAACAAGCAGTCTAGTTCGCATGCCCTCCAAGAGTGGCTTGATAACTTGAAGGATGCAGTATACAACATTGATGATGTGTTGGATGACGTGGCTACCAGAATTCTGGAGCGAGAAGTACACAAAGGTTTCCATGCTCGACTTCAACATCTACTAGTTTCTCCCTTCGAACTGAGTCACAGAATAAAAGAAGTCCGTGATAATCTTGATGAGATAGCAGCCAACAAATCACAGTTTGGATTATCTGAAAAGCTAATTGATTTCCCAGCAACCAAAAGTAGTAGTAGGGAAACGCACTCCGTCATTGAACCAAACATTATTGGGAGAGATGGTGCTAAAGATGAGATAGTTGAAAGGATTCTAGATGCCGCAGATTCCACGAGTCCTTTGTCTATACTTCCCATTGTTGGTTTAGGAGGCATTGGGAAGACTGCATTGGCCAAACTAATTTACAATGATGTGCAGATTACCAACAAATTTGACATGAAGTTATGGGCATGTGTCTCTGATGTATATGATCTTAAGAAGATCTTGGATGACATAATACAATCATCTTCTGGTGCAAGCCACAAAGAACTAAACCTTGAGGCGCTACAGTGTATGTTGCGTGGGATTTTACATGAAAAGAGATATTTTCTTGTGCTAGATGATATGTGGAATGAAGAAGTGAGTGAATGGGAAGACTTGAGAAGCCTTCTATGTAGTGGTCGTAATGGAAGTGTAATTATAGTAACCACACGTGGTTCAAATGTTGCATCAGTGGTGAAGACACTGGAGCCATATGAAGTAGCAAAGCTACCACAAGAAGAGTGCATGGAAGTATTTTTCCGATATGCATTCAAAGGTGACGAAAAAAGGGATGCTAAGTTGTTAAAAATTGGACACTCAATTGTTGAGAAATGCTATGGTGTCCCTTTGGTTGCAAAGACATTGGGTTCCCAGTTGTTAAGCACTCGAGATGTTGGAGAGTGGCATCGCATCAACGAATTGAAATTATGGAATGTGAAGCAAGATAACGTTGGAATTTTGGCAGCACTAAAACTAAGTTATGATGCACTACCACCCCATCTACGGGCATGTTTTGCTTCCTTGTCCACTTTTCCAAAAGGCTACAAACTTTTACAGAAGGTCTTGTTATGTTCTGGATGGCGTTAGGATTGTTGGACGGAGGAAAGGAAAGCAATGACATTATCAGTATTGGCCAAGAATACTGTCATGAACTTTTAGGAAGATCACTTTTACAAGATCAGTATATTGCTTTTGACTCTACTATACGGTATTGTAAAATGCATGATCTTATTCATGACCTTTCAATAAAAGTGTCCCAAATGGAACATACAGTTGTCAGTTGTGAAAAATTTGATGTCTCTGAGAGGATTAGACACCTAGTGTGGGACAACCAAGACTTCTCAATGGAGATGAAATTTCCTAAGCAGCTAAAAAGGGCCTGTAGGGCGAGGACATTTATAAGCTTATACAATTATGGCACTGTGAGTAAAGCCTTTCTTGAAGACCTTTTATCAACTTTCAAGCACCTTCGTGTCCTAGTTTTTTCTCATGCTGGATTTGAAGAGCTACCAAGTTCGATTGGAAATTTAAGGCTAGAGAAATCAAATACCTACCAAATTCTTTATGCAAATTAGTGAATCTACAAACACTCATTGTTTATATGTGTGACCAACTAGTGGAGCTACCAAGAGACGTGCATGGACTTGTTAACCTGACGTTTCTCTACTTGACTTCAAAGCAGAAACATTTGTTAAAAGATGGGTTTTGTGGTTGGCCTTCCCTGTCAGCTCTACAATTGGGTGGCTGCCTTGAGCTAGCATCATTGACAGAGGGACTTGGCAGCTTGGCTTCCCTCAGAGACCTACGCATCTTCGACTGTCCAAAGTTGCATTCTCTTCCCTCTGCCATGAGTCAGCTCTCCGAACTCCAGAAGTTGTTTATTCATAATTGTGCAGAGCTTGATCTGATGAAACCAGAGGAAGCCTTTGACGGGCTTTGCCGCCTCCGTACGCTAGAGCTCGTTTCTCTTCCAAAGTTGGTGGGATTTCCCGATAGCTTCAAATCTGATGCTTCCTCTCTGGGATATATTTTGATCCACGATTGCAAAGGATTAGATGACCTGCCAAGTTTCATCAAAGATTTCACTTCTCTTGAGAAAATTGTGATTGGTGACTGCCCTGCGTTAAGCAAGAGATGTGCCGTGGGTTCTGGGGAGGATTATCTTCTCATCCGCCACGTACGTGAGATATGCATTGATGGCATACTCCTCGAAAGGTATATTCCTGTCAGCCCTGGTTTACTGCTTGGCCAATTTAATTTACTGGTTGTTTTGTTTACTCTACCAACCAAAAGATCTTGCTATAAATTTTATCTCACTCGACTCCTGTTTCTTGTGAGGATTCTCACTCGACTCTTTTGGCTCACTGCATGCGCAGAACCGATGAGGCACCAGCAACGTCCTGAACCGTGACAGGAAGGAGCTGCGAATAAGCACCAACGCAAGCAGCGAGCTCTCAGTGGCTTCCTATCATCGTAATATTTGTATGATATATGGCTGTAGCAGCATCCTTAGTGTTGTTTCCGGTGTTTGTGGTCTTGTGGAAAGTGATCGTGAAATATATATTTTGTGATATCTAAATAATTAATAAGCTGGACACCGCTACTTGAAATGTAACGTTTAGTGCCACATTTCGTTGCACATGGTTGAATTTCTATGTCAGCTGAACAACTGTGCAATTGGATACGTACGTAGCAAATGTACTGAGCTTATGGACCTGATGATTGATTTCGCTTGGTTAGATATGACAGGCTTCAAATATTATTCTTCATGCATGCATGTTAAGATTGTGTTGCTTGGGTGATCCTGGTGATGCGTGGTTTATTGCCCTTGTCGCCGGCTCGCCGCCGAGCTACTTGTCAGTGGCCGAGCTTGTGGGTGTGGCGCAGCACACCAATCATGGCCTTCATTCGTGTCGTTGGTCATTAATGGTCATCAGGCTGGCATGGCATGTCGGCGGCTGTTGTTGCTGGACGAGGATGTGGACGCCGTACGTCCGTCGATGCACAAATACAATACAGGTCGTGCCACGTTTTTGAGCTCAACATCTGCTTACTCCCCGGTAATACTCTTACGTACGTATAGGCTGTATTCGTGAGCTGATGAGCGTGCGTGCCTAGCACCATGTTGACCCTGATGGCAGCCGGGTTTTATCAGAGGAAATTAGTATATTGTACTCCTACTAGCTAACCAAAACACGCACGTACTGTTAAGGCTTAGCAAATGGTTATAGCCACCAACTGTTATCTCAGAAGCACAACTGCAGCAGCGCTAGCTAGTCCAACACCGGCAGCCAGAAAGGAACATACACTCCTCAGGATCGGAGGCTCGGACGGCAGGGCGGCTGGGTGCGCGCAGCTGAACGGCTGAACCTCTGTGGTGTGGCGTGTCCTCGGCTGGCTCATATAAGCGTCGGTGAATGTTTGAGACGAGAGGTGCCATGTTTGCCCAAGGAGACGTCGGACGTTGACTCATTGGAATGTTTGGGCTACTGGACTTCCTTAATCTTGATACAAATGGGCCTCCAAGAAATTGCAAGCGGACCTACGATGGGCTGATCCAGGGAGCCACAGGATTGGTCGATGACACGACCAGTAATTCTTTGCTGTCTCAGCATATAGAATGCTTGTGCACACCAGGAACCAGTTTGAAGATTGGCTTAACTCTAAAGCTGGAAACTCTGATATAGAAGGAGATGGAAATTATTTTGGAAAGTTAGAGTGCCATAAAAAATGCGCATTTTTGTCTGGAGACTAATTCACAACTCCTTACCAACTGGGGAAGTGCTTAAAGAAAGGTTAATGACAAAACATAGCTCATGTAAACTGTGTGGTGTTGATGTTGACTCTTGGCAGCATGCTCTTCTTGAGTGTACTATGGCAACATGCGTTTGGGTTCTGGTAGATGAGGATCCCACTGAACATATTGCTGCAGTTCAAATTAATAATCCAAAGCTATGGTCGTCCTTCATGCAAAAAACACTACCTGCAAAGATTTTCAGAAACTTCTGGTCATATGTTGGGCAATATGGGGTGCTAGGAGGAAGGCTTTATATGAGGATGTATTCCAAAGCCCGCTATAAACTTTTGGTTTTATTTCAAAGTACCTTGGTGATACGGAACTAGCTGGGCTTTGCGAGAAAAGTACAGCAACAATGCCAGTGAAGACCAAACAACATGCTCTCAAATGGATAGCTCCTCCTGAAGGTTTCTTGAAATTCAATGTTGGCGGTGCAGTGGCGCGATCTGGTGACAAAGGAGCCGTTGGAGTGATTTGTAGGGACAGTGTAGGGAACAACATTGCTGCTAGTGCTAATGTCATTAATGGGCTTGTTCATCGACCCTCTTTGGAAGCAATGGCCTGAATGAAGCGATATCCTTGGCGCTAGATTGTAACACCCCAGTCCATTAGTAGCCTGTAGTAGTTGTGAAGTTAGCCCATGTAGCCCAAGTGGCTTATGTGTGATTGTTGCTGCTGGGTTTAATACCACCTTGGAAGTTTAGGAGGGTGAGTGACAGCTTATAAGCATTGTCGTTCCAAACGTAGCACCTCCGGGTTAACCCTTTTACACGAAGCGAGGACGAAAGTGTAAGAGAGGTGCTACGCGTATGCAGGCCAGTTCCATGTGTGGAGTTGGGCCATATAAGTAGTTTTGGACGTGCGGTGTTACATATGATATTCGGAGCATCAACCCTTGCTGCACGTGCCCGTGGAGGGGTGTACCAAGGGATGGTCCTAGACATCTGCTACATACCCTTACTGCACGTGTCTGTGGAGGGGTGTACCAAGGGGTGGTCCTGGATATCTGGCACATATATGTGGTGGGGTGATGTAACACGCCAGCCCATTAGTAGCCTGTAGTATAGTTGTGAAGTTGGCCCATGTAGCCCAAGTGGCTTATATGTGGTTGTTGTTGTTGGGTTTAGTACCACCTTGAAAGTTTAGAAGGGTGAGGGCCAGCTTATAAGCCTTGTCGTTCCAAACGTAGCACCACCGGGTTAACCCTTTTATACGAAGCGAGGACGAAAGTGCAAGCGAGGTGCTACGCGTATGCAGGCTAGTTCCACGTACGAGCTGGGCCATATAAGCAGTTTTGGACGTGTGGTGTTACATAGATGTTGAGTCACGCAACTGTGTAATAGCTCCAGGCTGTTTGGATGTCATTCCAAATGTAGCACCTCCGGGTGTTAATCCTTTTTACACGAAGCGAGGACGAAAGTGTAAGATCGGTGCTACGAGTATGCAGACCAGTTCCACGTGTGGAGCTAGTGTCGTTCCAAACGTAGCACCTCCGGGTTAACCCTTTTTACACGAAGCGAGGACGAAAGTGTAAGATCGGTGCTACGAGTATGCAGACCAGTTCCACATGTGGAGCTAGGCCATATAAGCAGTTTTGGACGTGGGGTGTTACATAGATGTTGATGCATGCAATCGTGTAATAGCTCCAGACTATTTGGAAGTCATTATGAATCTTCAGAAACAAAATCTACGTGCTTACTCCTCCATTCTAAGGGATATTAAAACTAGGAGTATGTTGTTTCTGGATGTAATTTTCAAGCATGAAGGTAGGTGTTCCAACAATGAGGCTCATGCTATTGCTAAAGTGTATATAATATGATGCCAGGGAGATATGTTTGGTTCCATGAGTGGCCAAAAATATTGCATGTACCTCAAAATATTATGACTGCTAATAAATAGTATGCTTGCCTTCCTCTCAAAAAAAAAAAAAGATAATTCATTGCTGTCTCTGTTGTTCCTTCTTCCTACTCTCTCGGTCGTTCTCTTGAGTATGCGGTCGTGTGGTGTGGGCAAGCGGCAGAGGCAAGAGGCCAGAGCCCCAGTGCAGAGGTAGGCAGGTAGCAGCACGCACGCAGCAGCTAGCGGCTCTATTGAGGGTAGTGGAGCACAGGTGCATATTTGCGAGTTGATAGGGAGATTTACTACGTATTTATTTATAGGGGGTTAAGATACAAAATTGTTGTAGGTGTTGACACCGTTTTTTGCACGTGTCAAAATGATCAGAGTGGGCTAATCGGCAGGAGGAAAGTTACTGTATACGCTGACAGCCGATGAAAATCAGCTTGTAAAGATGGTTGCCGATGAATGGTGGTGATCGATGGAAAGGTTGATTTAGACTCGGGCGTTGCCGATAAGGTTGGAGATGTTATTGTCGATGCCGATGAAGGAAGGCTTGAAAACTACTGCCGATGAAACAGGAAGTATGCCGATGGAAAGGAGGTCGGTGAGAATTCCATCGTAATTGAGGCGGACAGGGAAATAGATAGGAGTTGATTTCCTTTTCTATATTTGTTAGAGTATGATTCATGTAAGAGTCACGTGTTTCCTTAGATATGGACTTGGTGTCCTAGTCGTATTTGGTTATGTCTCTTTAGATCAGGGTATAAATATAGATTGAGGGGCAATGTAATATATATCAATCAATATCAAAACCAATTTTTACTCCTATTTGCATCTACTTACTTTTCGGCGACTTCGTCAATTTGCATATTTTTCCTTTTTACGAGTTCTCATTGATTCGGCGAGTTGCATCGTTTCAGTGCAACCTTCGGCGATTCTCGAGTTCCGCGTGAGTACCTCTTGGCCGTGACTTCCGGGCGTATCGCTGTTGTCAGGACCAAAGTGCTCGTATCTTCATCCTTGTCGATTAACAGGTCAAATCGACTGGCACGCTTTGGATATCGATTCGGGTATTAGCCCTTTGTGTTTGCAGATCCACTTTTGCATCAACACATCTTTTGGCACGCCCAGTGAGACAAATCAATCCGATCAATATGTTCAATCCCGAGATCGATTCAGGGAACATTATCGTGGTATCAGAAGAAGATCTTAAGGAAGAGCAGAGACAGGCTATGGAAAAGGCTATAGAAGAATACAGGCAGCTTTGTCTGAGATCGTTTAGCCTGAACAAGAGTGGACAAGTCATCCAGAAGCAAGATTTGCCGGTTCCTCGGTAGGTTACCTTTGACTCCAATCCTGGTAAACTTCAAGAGATGGTTAATTCTGCAGTAAATCATGCTTTGATTAATCATTCCAATGTGCTGTCCAATACTGTTCATAATGTTGTGGTTCGAACTCTCAAAGAAGGACAAGCGTCACCGCATTACGTTGGGCCTGCCTATCACCAACCAGAGCCGGCATCTGTCAATACTCCATCGGCTCCCTCGGCCGTTGTGGGTACAGAAGTTACTTCTCCTCGAGATCGGCGAAGCTTACCTAATATTCAATCTACACCGTCACGATCGAGATCCGGTACTACCGGAGGACGAGTTCAGCTTAATACGGATCTATCGGCATCGGCTATGTCGCCCACGTGTCTCAGAATAGCGATTCACCGCTAATTGGTGGGGATATGGTATGCCTTGAGTCATCTCGCTTTCAATCTGGGTTACCTCAAGTGTTTGATGCGATGGGAAAAGCTCCTATACCATCGGTTGTTTCGTCGATGGCTCAAGTACCTCAATATGCCACGGCAACTCATTGTGCAACCAACTCCGAGGAGGTTTCCAGATGCCTTTGGTTCAAACACCCAATTCAAGTCCATCGGCAAGCTTATCGCCGATGTGAAAAAACCCCCTGCTATGAGTCAAAGCTGGGGTTGATTCATGCCTCAAGCTGGTTATAATTATCCAATAATATCAGCAAATTACCGACCTATCGGTAAGTTTTGTACCGATGAGTTCTAATAATGGTTGGTCGGGGACGATTACACATTCAACATACGATTCAGCAAAATCAGCGAGGTTGTAGGATTCAACAAGGTCATATGCAAGTTGGTTTCAGAATCAAGCATCGGCTGATTTCGGCCGATGAATCCTTTTCAAAGAGGTTAATGGACCACAAGTAACAGCAAATATGCCGATTCTTTGGAGATCGTGGGCCACAAAGATATGTGGAGGGATATCAGCAGGTACCTCTGTAGAAATTCAGCCGGTTAAATCGTGAGGAGGTGATGCTTTTTGGGCCGATAAGATAGCGAGAAATTATGAAGGATCAGTTTGGGATAAAGCCCAAGGTCAATACTTATTCTTATCGGACTCCATACCCTCCACGCATATGATTTAATTCCTCTCCCAAATCGGTACAAGGTACCAGATTTCACTAAATTCTCTGGGCAAGATGATACATCAACAATGGAACACGTCAATCGCTTCATTATTCAATGTGGAGAGGCAAATACAGTGAGAGATGAATTAAGAGTTCGATTATTTTCATCATCTTTGTCTGGATCGGCATTTACATGGTTCATTTCATTACCACCAAATTCTATTATTACTTAGGCTGATCTAGAAAAACAATTTCATAAGTATTTCTTTGCTGGAATCCATGAAAAGAAGCTTACCGATTTAGTAAAATTGAGACAGCGTAATGATGAATCGGTAGAAAGCTTTGTGCAAAGGCTACGAGATGTAAAAAATAAGTGCTACAGCCTGGTGCTGGATGATCGGCAGCTTGCCGATCTGGCTTTCCAAGGGTTATTGCCACATCTTAAAGACAGATATGCTTCTCAGGAGTTTGAAAGCCTCAGTCATCTTATGCAAAGGATCTCTGATCAAGATACTAGGGTTTTTGAACCTAAAAAGAATTAGAGTAAAAAAGTATCATTTGTTGAAGAAGTAGGAGATTCTAATTCTGATGAAGAACCAGTTATCGGCTTAGCTGAGTGGGTTAAGAATAAAAAGCCGATATCTTGTCCCTTTGGTCAGAAAGAGCCAGAAAAGTTTACCTTTGATATCACCAAGGCCGACAAGATATTTGATCTTCTGCTTCAAGAGGGCCAAATTAAGTTGTCACCTAATCATGTGATCCCATCATGAGAAGAGTTAAAGAAGATCTTGTCTTCGCAAATGGCACAATGCAACTTCACACAGTACAAATGAGTGCAAGGTGTTAGAACATGATTACAATCGGCTATTGAATCGGGAGAATTAAGTTTGGTACTTCCAAGGCCCGAAGCCGATGAAAATTGATCAACACCCTTTTCCAAAGCAAATATGTTGGAGGCCAAAGGAAGACCAAGGTATTGACGTCGAGAGGCTCTTTGAGAAAAACGCATCGGTGGATCCCCAACATCGGATAACTACCGATGATGCAAAAAGTAAGGGTTTGCTGGGAGAAAGCAGTAGTTCCAAAAACCCTCCTCGACCTGGCATTGTGATTACCCATCGAAGGCAGCAGGAGGGTTGGCGTCAGCGTAAGGACCGATATCGACAACAACAAGAAGAGAGACGTCGGGAAGAATGGTATCGGCATAAAGATCATTGGAGGTGCCCGTTTTTCATCCATTGCTGGGAAGAAGGTATTAAATTGCCAACTGTTGAAAATTACCCTGAGTGCAATGGTTAT